GCAAGGGGATTATGGATACATATTATAGGAGTTACAAAGGGGGATTTATCATAGGGGTTATGAGGGGATTAGGGGAGTTCCGAGAGCTGCGGGGGTTGAAAGGAAGGGCTCAGATTGGATTTTTTGGGGAAGGTGGGGTGGGCAGGCAGGTGGGGTATATCTGGGATGTGGGGACTTAAGATTTCATGATACTTACTCTGGGAACCCTCAAAATGGTGCGCCTAATACTGGGAATTCCCCATATGAGTCAGTTGGGTTTGAGGCTCAGGGCGTGGCAGAGTTTTGGTCAGTTGAAGCTTCTGCAAGACCGGCTTCCGCGAGGCGAGTCTGGATCTCAACTGCATCACCTCAGCCCCTCAACCCTACCGCCCACGATCCCCACATAATCTTAGGAGTCCAAACACTAAACCCCTTGTCTGCGACCACTATAGAGTGATTGAAAGAATCAGTTTTTTCAATATTCCTCATAGACCAAGGAACTCCACTATAACACCCTATGGACTCTTCGAAGGAAGAGGCTGCTGTTTTCCAGCAGAATCCCTATCTGCAAGGCTGTGGCTGCTGCTCGGGCCCACTTTTTTGAGAGTGAGGTGTCTTTGTGGTGGATTTCCCTACATTTAGGAGCCCATTTTTGGGGAGTCCCTATAAGAAGGAGTATAGTATGTTGAGGCATATGGGAGCTCTCATTTTGGAAATACTAGGGTGTTGGGGCTAAGGTTTACGATTTAGGCCTTGCTGTTGTGGTTTTGTGGCTTGGGCTTCAGAGGCCTTGGGTTTAGAAGTCAGTCCAGGGTTTGAGGGCGAGGGTTTCAGGGTAGCGGGATGCCGGCGTGTGTAGAGGTCGATTCCCGTGCCGCATGTTGCACATCCATCATGAATGGTGAAGCCATACAAGGGGCTTCCACAAACCCGTTGGTTAGGTACCATGCATGAGCACTGTAGAGCACTATACTATACATATATATATATATACATATATATACATATATATACATATATATGTATACACATATATACGTATATACGTATATATATGTATATATATACGTATGTACTTTATGTTAGGTACTCATAAAAGGTTTCAATCCTGGTTCAGCACCTCCTTCCGAGCGACCAACCTCGCTCCAAAACCCAAACTCACCCTTCTTTGTATGCGGCTGTACAGGGATCCTGGTAGTTTCCTAAAATTAGGCGACCCCAATATAGACCCAAATATACTATGGTCCTTATTATGGGGACCCCCAAAAAGGTACCCCTAATTTTGGGAAACCCCCCCTTGGGGTAGAGCCTGTAGCGGACATGTGGCTACGATCTCTAGCAGGACAGGAAGGCCGAGACAGCCTAGTCTAGGTAGCTTTCTATGTACTCCACAAGTGGATGCAACTCTCGCTTCGCAGACCCCTCCCAAAGAGGCCGATCATCTCAAGAAACCTGGCACCCTGCCTTAAATGTTTCTTCGCTATGTTGCGCACCGAAATGTCTGCAACTTGGAGTATTTCGGCATTTTCCCCGTATGACCTTGATACAAATATAGAACCCTGCTCACGTGGGCTGGGAACCAGCTAGTTAGATGGTCTGTCTGTGGATAGGAGAGGGTTGTAAGTAAAGGACTGAAAAGGGGATTCATGTAGTAGTTACGAAGGTTTAAAGTTTAAACTCTGAAGAGAATTGGCCTAGACTCGACATGCAGATTAACCCTACTAATTACTGGTGTTGTTGCACACTTTTGCTACTCGCACTGCAGTCACTACTAGTAGTGCTGGTACAAGTACTAGTTGCTAGTAGGAGCAGTAGTGGCAGTGGGAGAAACAGGAGGGGCGGTGGCAGTAGGGAGTGGAAGCGGTAGTGGGAGGAGGAGTAGTAGCAGGAAGAGGAAGAGGACTAGAGCTATGACGAGGAGTAGGAGTTGCAGACGGAGTAGTCGCGGTAGGTGGTGGTAGCAGTAACAGGAATAGTACTGTGCAAATTCGTTGGGTATTTTGGTATTTCTCATACCATCTTAGTAAGGTCTCCGAGTGCCTTCCGAAGCCTCGGAATGCGTCAAGGACCTCTGTACCTTGGCTTGGACGCTTGAAGGTTTACGATGTTCAGAGTTGAGGGTGTTGAGGGTCCCCCAGGGTGAGGGTTGGAAGCTCTTCCCCTTCTTCCTTGGCTGCCTTTGACGGGATTTTCCAAGCTAGGGGTGTCTCCGGAGAGTTGCTTGTGTGATAGGTTGTCCTACATCGATTCCCTTTGGCCTTCGGAACTGCGCTGTTGATGCCCCACGGCCTCCGCTGACGTCTTGATCCCGAGACATCACCATTGAATCCCTTGAGCTGAAGGTAAGCAGCAGCTTGCGGTGTCAGTGTGCGTGGACGGGGAAGCCTACGACAGCACAGGCACACAGGGTTGGGATGCGGGGCTCATCGCAGCCTCAACTAGGAGGGCTGGGGTTCGTGTTTGTGGGCTGTGAGTTCTGCAGATGGATACCTTTGTGTTTGGGATGCCCAGGCCTGCATTCTGTGGCTTCTTTGCGTGGGCGTTGGTCTATTTCTATCCTTGAAGAGAACAGGATACTCGGGTTCCGAATGCGTTGGGTGCTGCAGCCAGTTAACTTCCCCGCAGGCGCTCGCAGATGCTGGTATTCGGGTTTTTGCAAAAGACATGCAGCCTTGCCCTGCGGAGAGCGGTCAATGATCTTGTGATCTAAAGGCTGATTCCAGCTTGTTAGACGGTGTTGCAAGTTTACCAGCCTCTTACCATTTGCATGGGAGCGTCCTCAGGGGCAGAGTTTCTTCCGGAAATCTTCCACAGGTCTTGGGTAAGGCCCTCCCAGCTCAGAATGGCACTGGGGTATGTTTTTCTTGTCTCATTCCGTAAGAATGAAGGCCTAACCTACTCTACGGGATGTTTCGGAGTTATGATGCCAATGGTGATAAAGATGGTGGTGTTGATGACTGGAATGGTGTTGCTACTGCTGGTGGTGGGGGTGGTGCCGCAGTGGTTGCCGTGGTTGAAACGTAATCGTAATCAATACTGCAACTATTTTGGCAAGCAGGATTTCTATGCGATACTTCCGCATGAGCACCTCCACCCATCTCACAGGAAGGCATGTGACGTGTTTGAGCTTCCGCGATTTGCTGCAGCGTTCCAGAGTTTGTCGTTCCCCCTGGGTTGACAAGCGCTTGGATCGGTCAAGGTTTCGGCCCAGCAAATAAAGTTCAAACGTTGCAAACGTAGACTCGTAGGGATCTCAGCAACTGAGCATTGAAATCCGCAGGCCAAGCTAATGGGGCTTGTTTCAAGTACCCAAATATAAAGCCTACAGTCCATCACGTGCCCCATACCACAACTTAGACTTAGAACCTCGCATCTGAGCTGCAACAGTAGGTTAGGTTCTGAACCCCGCACCTACTGGCACCTACTGGCACCTACTAGCAGCTAGCACCTACCCTGAGCTTTCCGGAGATCTGAATCCCAAGAAAACTGTCAAACTCCTAACCCTGATGCTGAACCAGGCGTCCAGATTGGGATTCTTCTTGACCACTGCTCCTGGAGCTGAACTAGGAAGAAGCACCCCATCGGACACTTTAATCAGCAAAGGACAGGTGGTCCATATGCATAAATGCGTCCCTCTGAAAGTAGGGAAGCGAAGTGGCGTCCAAAATGCTGGAGCCTGGTGCAGTCACTTCAACTTTGGCACGCCCACGCCAAAGCATCAGGTTTCAAATTATCAGTTTCCCGCTGATCGCCAGGGAGAGCATAAAGGGATGATGTAGGCGGCTCTCGTTTGACAAAACAAGGCTGCAGACACCATTGGCTGTCGAGGAGTTTAGAACATTGAGCTACGCAATGCACACATGCATTTGTGGATACATATGTACTATACACTGACATGTGTACATGTTTATAGGTATTTACACCCATACCTATACATATAAACATACGTATATAATATATACGTCTAATATAATTATATATATATGTGTATATATATAGAGGTGTATATATATATATAGATATACAGATATACACATGCGTATATACACATTTATGTATGCATATCTATGCAGGTGTATATACACACATATAATATATATATATATATGTATGTAGGTATATGTCAGTGTATACAGCCCCCGCAGTTGTGTGACGCCACCGCAGCAAGGCTTCAGCTACGACGGTCCCCTGGGTTGCGCGGCGACAGCAGATGGAGGAGTGCCCTACTGGGACTATACAGGGTTTAGGGTTTAGGGTTTAGGGCAGGCATACTTCCCCCGTAGCGGCGAATGGAAAATGAAATCGGAAGTGGGTTTTGCAAGGGTCCATGGGGATAATCTCATAGAAGCCCGAAAAATTTCCCACCTCACGGTCCTAGATTCCTGGTATAATCATGGTGCAGCTAGCTGAAATAGACTTCAACATAATGCTGGCTTTTCCTAAGGCCCGTACATTTGACTACTTCGTCTCTAATCTAAACTTCTACCAAGTAAAGGTTAAAGCGCTGATTTACACTGACAAAATAACATAAGAGTAATGATAATGGTAATAGTAACAATAATGATAATCATTATGATGGTTATCATAATAGCAATAAAGGGTCTGGCTCTGAGGGGTTGGGAATTGAGGGCTCGGGATTCGGGCTTTGGCGAGCATGGCATACAACTGCTTGCGCTGCTCATTGATAAACAGGCTGTGCTTGTAGACCTCTAGGTTTATAGGGTTGAGGGTGCACATGTTTTGGGTAGCAGTCATGGCTCTTCACGTTTTGTGATGACCGTGTAGCAAGAGCGAAAGGTTTCTCCCACGACTTGCAAATTGCAACTATGCGGATCATACAGCAGTCGCTGTAGGGTCGCACTTAGTGTGGCAGGGCAGCCACATTCCAGCAGAGGAAGAAGAGGATGCCACAACCCCATACCATCCCAAATTCTTGCAACCTCCTAAACCCTAAACCCCAAACGCTAAACTTGAACCCTACTCTCCCCTCCCTCCCTGAACCCTCAACCTCCCTATTGCAGGATTTGAGCTTCATCTGTGGGCGCCCACTGCTTTATCCGTTGAGGCGCTAACCTACGAAGGGCCGAAGCTGCGGGGACCGCAATGGTGGGAGGGCTTTTGAACAGGTCGGGCTTGTAGGTTTTTGTGGATTAGATCGGGTTTCACAAGCTGGGTGCAGGATTGCTGGAGACCATTTTGTTGTGTCTTGCACCCAAGGTGCACTTGTATTCATAATCATGTCGGGAACCATAGAGGGCGGTACACAGCAGGGTGGGTTTCCAAGATGTGGAAGTACCTTTTTGCAGGGCCTTATGTCCTTCGTATTGATATTTCTTAGGTGGACCCCCCACCCTGTAATAGTGGCTGGAAGGGATAATAAGGATTGTATTAGGGTGGTACTATATTCCTACTATACCACTATGACAGGCAATTCTTTTTTCAACCCTTGTCATTTGCTTTGAGGGCCTGGCTAGAATGTGCAGGCCAGAACGGATGCTATTTGCCCCCAAGCTAGCACGCAACCCAATGAAGCAACTTTTGGTTGACACCGCATCTTTGAAGGTTTGCGGGCTCCATGTTAGTTTGAGGGAGGGTCTGGAATCCCATGCAAGCGCCACTTCCGCTCAAGACAGGCTGTAAATTCCATCAACTGAAGAGGTCCAAGTATCTAGATTAAACATGCTTTAGCGCAGATGGCTTTCCACACGGACAGCGAGGATCATTTTTTAATGTTTCGCGACGCACAGGGAAAGCACCAATGTCCAAGGAAGAGCCAACAGCCGACAGCGCATGCCATGACCGCTGGCGAGGACGTCTCCTAGGAACTGCGGTGGTGGTCCAAATAAATTTTCAGTAGCAATAGTACCAATAAGAATAACAGGGTGATGGTTCCTGGGGCAGGTAGCTCTACCCCAACACTTGCTGAGGGCTATCAGGTGACAGCTCTAGCTTACAAGATAGGGTTTGTTCGAAGGACTTTTTTTTTTTTCGAACATGTATCTTTCTGTGCTGGGTGGAGCTGCTGCTTCACACAGCGGATAGCCCAAACGTAGACGGCACTTTTGACGACCTCACGCACAGAAGATCGATGCAATTCACAGGCTTCTACATCGAGATTTTGTATCCTCACATAGGGGTTCTATGGGGGTTATATAGGGATAATGGAAAATAAAATGGAAACTCTGTGCAGTGCATCGAAGTATTACTTAGAAGTCCAGGGTCGGCTTCCAGGCAGCGGGGATCCAGGTTGCTCGTTGCCAGCGTTCTGGAGCTAGTGTCTACTTCGTTTTTTCATTGTTTTCATCAGGGAATATGGGTACATATTATATAGGCATATAGCGGCTATATTCTCCTATTCCCTACTAAGCACCAATAAGTTCTTGCAGGTACCATTGGGCCTTCGACAGCCATGAACTTTGGAGCCTGAAATCCCGAACCCTGAGGCCTCAAAACCCTCAGCAATGAGACGGTTCCCGAAATCCTGGTTCCTTCGTGGGTCCCTGTTTTTCCATGTGGATATTTCTCAAAAATTGGGGTGCCATTGTGGTACTTCCAAATGTTGGGTTTCGTAATATAAGGGGCCCATGGTTTTGAGAACTACCCATATCATGTGGGGGTGGGTCTCCTTGGGGGCTCCCATAGTAAGGATTATCATATTTTGGGGTCCATATCGGGGTTCTAAACCCTAAACCCTAAACCCCTAAACCGCGTGGGAAGCTACCATGTGACTTGCTGGAGGACGGTGTTTGGAGCCTGTCTTGCCCCAGGAGGCATGGTCTTAGAGGGTTTCTATAGGGTTTAGGGTTTAGGGTTTAGGATCATGATCCACTAACAAACAAAATCAGGAGACGTCTATGTTCTTGGTGAGCGTAGTATGAATTAGGATCCTGGTAATCAGCTTTCGATTTAAAGTGCGTGTCAAAGTTGGGAGGGGGGAACTAAAAACCTAAACGCTGCTTGTTGAGCCACCTCCAGGTGGTCAGGAAAGTACTACACCTACCGAGTTCAAGCCTACCACCCGCTGACCGGAAAGATCGAAACTATGGAGGTGCACCTGTGGGTCTGCATCTAACACAGTCAGGAGTGGTTAAGTTGAACATATACATGTGTTCCATGCTCCTACCTTCATGTTGGGTGAGGTTTAGAGCCCAAAGAGATTACCTCGTACGCGCTAGATTGCTTCACTCAACGAAACAATAATCACGACACCTGACCTTATGCAGTCCCAGGAGCAACCGTACTTCTTCGTGTAGCCACTACTAAGGTGAATTGCTATGGAGTCCCAAAGCGGGGTTTAAGTATAGCTACGGATCAGCACTGCTTTACGTAGGTTGTTTTGAAAACAGGGTTTGTCGGGTTTGCTTGATGCTCACATGTCTCACATTTTGATTCAAGATATTTCCGCAGCCTAGCCACAATCAAACTTGATCTAGTCGCGCAGGCCTTGCTAAGGAAGACGCCACAGGTCCTCCAACTCGCTCGTAGTCCTGCTTCTCAGGCAGCTGTACCATCTTTTGGGGGGTTTCATGTTGGGATGGTTTCTCTGCATACTAGCACTGAAGCTGAGGACATTGCAAGTCCCCAAACACAATCAGACCTCAAATTTGAATCCTGAAGTCCGAAAACCAGCCTCAACGCCCAGGCCAGACCCAAACCTGAGGCACACAAACACAGGCTCCAAGCCCTGAGCCCTGAATCCAAAGCTCAATGTAGAACTCCCTCATGCTCAGTAGGAGGGAGGAGAAAGAACCACTGCAATTGTTCGGGCACTGAAATTCCCACACTCCAACAGACTGTACAAAGAGGCCAGTCGGAGGAACAGAACAGCAACCACGGGCAAGCGCATGAGGAGCAATCATTCAAGCATTCATGCCAGCCACCAGTGGTGTTGAAGAACTACAGTGATTTTGCAAGCCAGCCCCTGAGCCCTAATCCTCAATTCCTACTCGCTAAGCCCCCAATCTTAATCCCTATGCCATACAACCCTAAATTCTCATCCCGAATTCCTACACTTGTAAAGCCTAAAACCTAATTCCTATTCCCTATGTCCTAAATTCAGTACTGCGCCCCCTCTGTAACAGTTGGATAATAATTACAATATGGATATATATAGCCCTTAATAGGACCCCTCATATATACTGCTACTGGGAGGGGGCAGTACCCAAGTCCTAAACTTCAAATCTTTTGCGGACCAGGCCCCTGATCCCTACTCCGCTGCTTGCTCAGCAGATGCGGGGCGTTCGCTCATCTGCTCCTTGGAAGCAAGAAGAGGTAGTTTCAGGGTCTAGAGGTTCAACGGCTTCAGGATCCCCAAATTAGGGTTTAGGGTTCAGGGATAAACTCTCTTGCAAGAACCCTATACCCGTAATCACCTTGTAATCCAGACGAGTCCCTAAGTCCACCCTATTTGTAAGCAAAACTTCTTACAGCTGGGCCGTTGAAGAATGACCCTCTCCATAGTAGTTTCCATTTTCTTTTCCATTCTCTCTATATAACCGCAATATACTATAGTAGTTTCCATTTTGTTTTCCATTATCCCTATATAAACCCAAAATAACCCATTATAGTAGTTTCCATTTTCTTTTCCATTATCCCTATATAACCCCTATATTGCCCTTATATGGATAAGTAGTCCTCATGGTAACGCAGGACGCTCCATGTTGCCGACTTTCTAAAAAGCCCAGTGAGTACCCTGCATGGGGAGATTTCCCGAACTCTCTTCCTTACTCGGGGTTAGTGGGGATAAGAGAATATCATATGGGGATTTTAGGGATTGTATTCCCTTATTCCCTGCTAAGAACCAGTAAATCTCTCTCTCTCTCTCTCTCTGACTCCTAGGGCCCCTGCAGAGATGGGTAAAACACGTACTGTTATGGGCTTGCTCCTTCATGTGGCGAAAACGGGCCTTATGATGACACCAAGACCCTCATGACAAAGCAGTGGCCATGAGGAACTACCATGTGGGTTGTTCTCAAAACTATGGGCCCCTTTTGGGTTGTAGCTTAGATATTACGGCACCTCATATCTCGGGGCACCCAAAATGGGAAATTAATTTTGGGAAGTACCCATGTGGTGATGTTGATTTCCTATCCTCCTTACATCCCAGCACTCTTCCAATAGCCATGATGCTTTTCCATCCCCCTTGAGCCTGATTTCAGAACCTTGCATGATAAACCCCAAAGCCTACAGCCTACATCCTATACCATCAACACTGAACCTCATGTAGCTGAATTTCAAGGCCAGCTACCTCCTTGGGACGATTCCGCGCTGTCGCCGGCACCTCCCTTCAACCACCGCGCTGATGCTGTCATCTACGCTCCTCGGCTCAGCTTGGTCTCAATCGTAGTACTTGACACGAAAACATCCTGGACAACCTTCGTATACCATAGTACCATAAATCTCAAGGTTTAGGGTACTTGTAGGGTCATACGGGATTCGTTGAATCATGTGTAGCTTGGCAGTTGGGAGTTAGGTGCGCCAACTGCTAATCAACGTGCTCCACGTTGGAGCCATCTTCATTGGGCACTTCCCATTGGCTTCCATTTCTGTATCCCCTACTGCTGTGCAAGAACAAATCCCAACATCTGGACCCAAAAAGCTGACTCCCAAACTTCAGAAACCGAAGGACCCACCCTTTGGCCAATGCATCCAAAGCCCTCTGGGCCCCCACCTGCTGAATCGCCGTAGCTGGCTTGCCTAGTCCCACTCGCACCCCACCAGGAGCTCCATGTTCGAGATTTCAGTGCCCGCGACAGCAGCGTGGCATCTGCAAGCCGCGGAAAATACCTGGCCTTCGAACAGGTGTGGAGCGTGTCCAAGTCGGGCTTGAGGTCCAGGGAGAGTTTGGGTTCTGGGGCAGGGGGCTTGGCAATTCGGACCAGGTAGGGGTGAATGTGGGGGCATGGGGAAAATCGGAAGGATCTGGGTTGTTCCCGGTGGAAAGCAAACTACTGCATGAGCACTTCCTTTTACCAGCACGACCCGCTTCTAGACTGCAAACTTGGGAATCCACGCGCAGTTCTTCCTGCAGGTTTTTGTGCCCACCCGTAATCAGCTGCAAGCCAGGAGGGCACCAACGGCGACCGGCATCTGCGAAAGTTGGCGGCAGCGGGCTTGACCCATGTCCACCTGCTTCCCACGCCACCTGGCTAAGCCGCAAAAAAATGGGTCTCTCTGTCCTGGTGTCGCTAACCCCACTGCTCAATACTCTGGGTACCTTCTTAAGGCATGAAGCCGCAATTTCGATAACTTGTATTGTAGACAAAAAACATTGCTCAGCAGGCTTTGAGACATCTGAGCAAGTCTGCAGGCCTTCCTGAGTTTTTGCAGACCTGCTGTTCTATCCGTATTCCTCATTCGGATACATTGTTGCCCGTTCTTCTCCAACGCATGGGCCATTCTCAAAAACTGCAGGCCATTTGAGGTACGAATTCTAGTTGATGCCTAGTCTTAGGGGTGCCAAAGCTGGGACCATGCGGCTGAAACCTACATCAAAATATCCATTATGGGTATATTACAGTATATTATGGGGATATTATAGTATATTATAGTATAGTATATTATAGTAAATTATATTATAGTATATTATATTAATTTGTAGTATATTATAGTATATTATATTAATTTATAGTATATTATAGTATATTATATTAATTTATAGTATATTATAGTATATTATAGTATATTATATTACGTTATAGTATAGTAGATTATAGTATAGCATCAATTCCGAGGTTCGACTTTGGCACTGTGCCCGAACGCGCAGAGGATCGCTTCTTGGCAAAAGGTTAGGGTTTAGGGTTTAGCGCTTTTAATTTTTTTTGGGCTTAGGGTTCAGCGCTTTTAGGGTTTTTTGGGCCTAGGGTTTCGGGGGGCTTCGGTGACATGAAGAGGTCTACATATCTTGTGCGTGTATGCGGATGAGATGCATGGATTCCATGGGCTAAAGACCCAACTTACTAGAATCATCATTACGGACTTCACTTTTCCGCCCGACGACAAGCGTAACCCCCTAAGCCCTAGAACCCTAAATCCTAAACCATAAACCCTAAATCCTAAACTCTCGACTTCTTTAGCCTTAAATCCTAAACCCCAAACCCAAAACCCTTAACCCTGAACCCTATCCTAAACCCTAAATCCTAAACTATAGACTGTAGCTTTAAATCCTGATGCCTAAACCCTACATCTTAAGCCCCAAGCCCTAAACCCCTCAACCCTGAGAACATCCAAGGAGCAGAGCCCGTAATGCCATCCACGGCCGGACCTGCCTCGGAAGGCAAGCCATGCTATGGGTGTTTATGGACTTTATTGTTTAGGGTTTAGGTTTTAGGACTTAGGATCTAGGGCTTAGGGTTTAGGGTTTAAGGTTTAGGCTTAGGGTATAGGGTTTAGGGCTCAAGTCTCTGATTCTGAAATCCCCTTATCTGCCAACATTGTGTTATACAATGTGGGTGGAGGGCTTGGAGTTCAAAGCTTTCAAGGGTTAGGGTTAGGGTGTTTTACACATGCCTGCCAAGGGCTTCCCCAAACATCTCCCCAGTTTAAAGCTTGGGATCCAAACCTCAAAGCTTCAAGGCCTTGAATCTGGAGGCCTAAATCTTGTTGTCAAGTATACGGTATGCGCGAGCCACGTTGCACTGAGCTCTCAGTTCCAATCCATAACTTCATATGCCACGGGTGTGGGATGGCCGTGCCCGAACGAATGACTTTCTCATGACCAGTTCCAACCAACCTCAGTGGACTTGATGTAGCTTTGCCTCTGATCATTAAGCAAAATTGTCTTTGCGACAGACGAGCAAGAGAAAAACACATCAAGAACCGTAGCCTTGCAACCCTTGATTGTAGCAAGGACAGCAACTTGCCGTGATGGAGGTTGCAGACTCTGACGCACCTCGGATGGTTTCTGATTTGAGGTTAGGCCCAAACTGGTGACACAATGCCCTCTTTGCAGCTTACTTTTTTGGGGTTTGGATTTGTGTTTCCAGGTTTCGTATACAAGCCTCTTGCGACCTCTTGAACATAACATGGTTCCAATGTTGGAGTTCAGGTCGAAGGCTCCGTTGCCTGTCCCATTCCTGGAAGCATTGCACAGTTCTTAGAGTGCCAGTGATTGCCTAACGAAGAGGGCTGATCTCGTATAAAGTGTGACGGCTCTAAACCCTGAACCGCGGAGCCAGACAATTTTGCAATCCATTCTGAATATTTGCCGCGGTCATCCTCTATATATACAAAACTTGGGTATATGGGGCTTATCACGTTTATATAAGGGTTATAGAGGTGTGGGGGTTATATAATTATATAATATAAGGGTATATAGGGGTTATAGAGGAATATTGATTTCATATAGGAGCCCAATGCAAGATCTATCAAATGGCTGGTATCAAAAGATGCTGGTCTCAAAGCCGAGCCAACAGACCTGACAAGTTATGTAGAATGCCCAGGAGAATCCCAGCTACAAATAAACCTTGCACCCTAAACCCTAGATCCTAAACTCTAGATCCTAAACCCTTAAACCTTA